GATAGCAGATCTTGTAGTTTAATAGACTAGCATCCTTATTTATTGTTACCTATTGAAGTTCGCAGAACTGTCTGAGTTTTGATAGTCCTTTTGCACTTTAGAGGGAACTGGGTAAGCCATATTCGTTTCATTGTCCTTTAACCTTTCCAGTAATTCCTGTTCATTGTGGAYAGTGGTTATGTTCCAGATAATATTGGMTCCTCGACAAGGTCGAAGGAAACATTTTAGYAATTCTTGGCTTGTTATCCCCTTTATTTTTCCAGATTCCAGTGATGGTATGCTTACATTGACAGTATCCGGTAAAAACGGTCTATATTCGTAGAATACAACGTTGACTTTTGAAAGTCCATTGAATATGCAACGGTTAACTTTTGCGGCATTCACTGCATCTCGATGAGCAATCAYATGCATGGCAACCACAGCAATAATGACCCTTGAAACTTCCATCTGAAACCTACGAATAGAAATTATACTCCTATAAATACTTATAATTACATTTTGTAAACAAAACGCTAATAAAAGAATATCAAACAAGCAATAAACCAACCAATTTAACTCGAAGAACTAAGCAGATTGAACAAAAGTGTTCAGAAAATTCACGTGTTAAGGAGGGAGGGGTGGGGGATTTACGGTGCTAAGGAAAACAGTGGTCGTTGGTACCACCATCTTTGGAAACTCAGGTCTTAGAATGGGCTTAGTTGTCACATTTATATTAAAATTTTAAAAACAAAACAAATAACAAAACAACAACCAAAAAGCTAAGGTCTGAAAGAACCACCAAAGAACGTTAAAAAAACGACATTATTGAACTCAAGCGGGATTTTGACGAGAAATGATTGGCCAGTTGGAACCATGCCGATTTTAAATGACAGAATTTAGTGGGAAAGTCAATTTGTTGACCAATATCATTTCTCTATATTCTTATGAATTAATAGTGATTGCGGAGTTTATGGCTAGTGTCAATATTGTCCGCACCGTCCCAATCGCCATAAAACACGCTTTTCTACTGATCAGAAAACAAGAACAAAGACAAAGCACTTTAGAGACAATCATATGACCCTTTAAAACACTTTTTGAGATATGCTGTATTTGCGAATTTAATTTAGAATGGCAAAAATTAATTGTTGTTAACTTTAAAAATATTCTTTTGCGATAGCTTTTTTTAATAAAAGTACAAATGCAGAAATTTTGCGCTAAAGTATGAAGTTAAATGCAGTATTTTAACATCAACGCAACCAGACGAGTGTGAATTAATTTTTCGTAGGATCCGTATTCGAAAGATTTGGTCATGCACGCAGCGAATTTCGATTTGCGCAAACGACCACAGTGTTTTGTTTCTTTGTTGTAACGGTCCAGGTCATAACAATTRTACAAAGTCTCAGATCTCTAAACAATTCTATTATTGCAGAATGAACCAGAGTTTTATGAATTGTAACTTGGGAATAGACGACACACCTGCTTTGCGACAAGATCTGGAACAGTGAAAAAAGGACAGGGTTTGGATAACCAGTCTAGCGTCCAAAAACAGATTGATRAAACTTATCTTCTTTACACAACAGATTGATGAAATGACGTCTTTACCAGCAGCCAGCACCAGGAAAGTCCTCTAATACAGTCAYGCATCGAACAAGACAACGAGCTAGAGATTTGATGAAGACCAAATGCTAAAAGACATTAATAACTCGAACTACTTCACGACCACACGTATAGTGACAAATCTCCGRCAGTCTTGAAGCCTTATAAGAATTTGTCTAAAAGCTTTATTTCCTTCTGTATTGCTGGCAAACAACCTGCATCTGCGATAGGAAATTCCCTAAGATGGCACTGATCATAACATATCATCAATAATAGCCCCCTGCAGTAATGRCCGAGACTTACCAATTGTTTTTTGTCKTAATGTTTTTAAAAGAGTTCCATGYTGTAGTGACACTAAACGGTAGTTTCAGAAAGCTTTCTAGTGATTCTCGGTTTCGTCGGCTTAACAGCTWACCCCATGAAATTATTCCATGAAATTATTGTCGTTATACAGCTATACTAAAAACTAATTTTGACTGAAGTAGAAATGAACGCACATTCTGACAGCACGGTTGCTTCTGAATGAAAATCATTTCGAATTATATGGTAATACCTARTAACTCGTTCAGTTTGACACCTGCATTCAAAAACTGKTTTTCTCTATAMTTTATCAAAATTCAGTGATTTTTTTTTATGAAACCATATTTGCATTTCAAGGCACATGAAAAAACCCTGAATTTATACATATAATAAATTTTCTGTTAATTCCAAAAGGTTATCTGAGAGAATTTAAATGAATGTCTGCGATATTCCATACTAGTTACGTAGTACGCGCTTTGATACGGTCACGTGTTTCGCGGAACCGCGTGGAAGATCGACGTCGTAAAATGGCAGTCAGTTAACTTATCTGACACACAYCCTTTCGTCTGACACCTCCTCCAACAGGGMCATAGCCACAAGSAGTGCTCATTAATCGTTTTTGGATGTCACTAATTTTTATATTCATTTTCWCGAGAGATGTTCTTACGCAAAACGTTTGTACGTTTCAAGTAGTCGACAAAATTCACAATACAAGGCTTCGTTTCTATAGTGATTGACAGAATTCACAGTGTAGGTCTTTTTRAATTATTTATAAACAGCATGGAAACAAACATGGCTTGGTAATAATTGGTATAGGCCAGACACCTGYATGGGCGGGTCATATTCGTTACTTAATCATAGCGACGCTTATTACTAAATCCTGCATGGTTTCGTAAAGTAATAAATACCAAGCGACAATGTGGTTTCGCTACAGGAATGCGTGAAYCGTGAATGTAAATCGTTATTTCATAACAGTCGGCTTGCACACTGAAAGTGTAATCTTACGTATATGACTTGATGTGGTGGGTTTGGCCTTTATCTGCTTACACATTTTWAAACAAAAGAGAATCTACATCAGTCTTAGCGTTAAAAATCTAYTCACAGTATAAATGGGCTGAGCAAGTGAATTGAAACACTACACAAACACCACATTCACTGGACTTCATAGATGTGGATCTAGGGCATGGGTTAACACCCTATAGCAAACCATACTAAAATGTGATATWTTGTCTACGACTCGTACTCAAAAGATAGGACAATATATTGCAGCTCACYGTCTTAGTACTAGCTCCATCCTTGAAAAAGAAAAACAAAAGTAAAGAAAATCCACGGAACAGTGTGGAAATAAAACCTAGATAGTAGCTAGACAGGCTTCACCACATGCCTTCACACAGGAAGCCCACAACCTCATTTGAAATCAATTATGATAATACTAGCGTAGTCAGGCGTTCCTAGCCGCTCCGACAGAGTTTGGACCAGAGAAACCCAAACTCTCTCGGAGCGGCTAGGAACGCCTGCCTATGCAGGCTATGATGATACCGGGGAGACCTACGTAGCACGCAGTTGATGTAATGTATTCATAAAATGTATTGTATTCCATTGTTTCTCGTTCTATTGTATTATGTGTTTTGTATCATATCTTTATGAATATATTACATCAACTGAGTGCTACGTAGGCTCTCCCTGATGATACCAACCTCGTTCCCAGTGTCCTCTCTGTAGCTATTTTCTAAATGGCGGACGCTACAGCTAGAGAAGACCTCTTCTGTATCGTCCGCCATGTTGAAAATAGCTACAGAGAGGGCATTGGGAACGAGGTTGTAATACATCTATTTCAAACAAAAATGTCGTCGGAGATAACGGGGATTGKTGGTAGCCCATCTCTATTCGATATMTTGATTATCTAATCACGCACAAAAGAAGATGAGGCYCAGGGGAAAAATAGGTAGTTCAATGTACTGCTTTCCRTGGCCTCGTATTGAATTCTTTTCTGCGGAACAATTCAACCAGAATATCCAAAATTGTTTTCATCTTTGTAGAACGTGATTGCACGACCGAAAAGACTATAAGCTATCCAACCACCTTTCCAAGGCCGCAGTTTAACTTGTATGAAGAATTCATCGCTAGTGGGTATGTTTTTCAATCACAACTGTGAATTTCTAGTCGTTCCGATATTCATTTTGAAAGTAGCTATATACATTTTGCAGTATCAACGGATTTCGCCCAAAACAAGATGAGCTCATTTTCTGTTGACCCAAAAATACTAATCCCTGTCTGTTTCCGCGGATTTATATAAAAAATTTGATCAAACGACTTTTGAAAGGGATTTGAAAGTTGAAAATGCAAATGAAGTGATGTCATCGGTCCTTTCTTTATATGGTCAGTGTTACTACTTGTCTTTGGTTGAAGTATTCCAATCATCAAACAGTTGAGATCTGAAAATATAATTCCTAATTTCATGAATCATGACGTCACTTCATTGAATTTTCATTTTTCAAATGCTGTTAGCTTATCAAAGATGTGAATTTTTTCTTTACCGGTTTCAAGTATCATGTTGCCTTTCGGATACAAATGATATTATTATAAAAGCCGACTCGCAATACGACATTATAGTACCAGAAGAAACAGCAAAAGACAAAAAAAGGAAAAAGACAAAGAAGTGAAGTGAAGAATAAGAAAACACAACTTCCTTTCGTCTTCTCTAGTCGCAGTGTGAACCGTCCCTAAAAGGGGTCATGACATGCACATTGTGCACATCAAACTAATATAACTTTATCACAAAATCATATTTCATTATATTTTTGACATTGTTTTTTTTACAATTTTACCAATCGTACTATGAACTAGTCGTTTTGGTTACAAAACACTGATGTCCGTTACCTTGCAAATGAAATGCGTTATCATAATAATTTCAACAACTGTCGTAGGGAAATGGATTTAAGCAATAAACAACACATTTCCGTGCGTTCCTGGTGAAATAAACCACGCGTTATGTTGGGCGAACACGAAAAAGGCGTAAAAATCTAGAGCMGGAGGTTCCCAATATCCCAAGTGGTTTATTTCACCAGGAACGCACGAAAAGATGTTGTTTATTGCTCTTTATTTTAAGGTCGATTTCCCATCCGTGCTTTACCGATGWAATAAACAACATCTGACCAATCAGAGAGCGCGTACTATGATAGCCACTTTTAAACAAGCCATGTGTACAACTAAACATCGATTTCAAGAAGAAATGTTTTTGGCATGATTGGCAAAGTACTAAGACAATACTTGTTCGTATATCTTGAAAAGAAGGCCATTACAGCCCTTTATACGATACTATAGTATTTGTTTCTGTGATATGAAGTCTTAGATGTCTCTAGATGACTAGAATTGGATCGCAACTTACACACGGATTAAGTCCTGTTTTTATTAAAATTATACTCATAAAAAAAACTTTAAAAAAACTTAAGGAGTGACGAAAGGTTTTAATATTATTTTTTAATGCAATCGACGTATTCCAAAAGGTACGGGTTATTTAAGGTCTCCTCACATATATGTATACATGTACACTATTAAAAAAAATTAACTGATAACTGGTAAAAATGTAAAATACTCGTATATATTATGTGAAATAAAATGATTGATTGATTGATTGATTGAAGTTGAAGCGTTCCTCGCCTGATCATCATGAATTATCAATAAAACAGAATTTTGCCCTTGGTTGTGCCATAAATACCCTCAGGAAACTATGTCATCTTACGCTCATCAACGATATAAAAACGTAAGGTGTTTCTCGTTCTTAAATGAATAGTTACTAATACAAACAATGAAAAGCGATTAGTGTTCGTCTGCCATGGTAATCGGGTCTTGTAAAGAACTTCTCACACTACATACATGTCCATTTATTGTGCTGTTTTTTTTTTACCATCATCAATATTCATTGTTTTGATGKTAYCCATTCAATGAAGCGAGATTTATTTGTCGACTACGAAAACTTCAAAGCACCGATGRACCGACACTAAGACATGAAAGTGGAAAATAAAAGAAAGATGCGAAAAAATACAGGAATTACGCGACGATGTGGACTGATGTTTGGTTAAAATATCCTGAYATTTTGGTTTGTTCACTATCGAATTAGCATTGTGAGAATATRATGGGAAGAGTTTTATTAGTTCGATTTAGCGTTAATCAAATATGAATGAAACACCACTGAATGTTCGTTACCTTCAGCCATTTCAGCATTCATAAAAAATTCCACAAAATTGTATTTATAAGACAAGAGAAAACAAAGGATTTTGTTCTATTTTTGTGCACAGTTTAGGAACAGCAGAACTTGAAAATGTAATCTACGTGAAATAGATAAGGTCCTGAATAAACCGCAAACGAGAAATGTCCATTTAAGGTGCGTAACCTTTTCGGCTGCAAAGTGAATTCAATGTACGTGTGCCCGTTGGCTTCCTGGGCGGGAAAACGCATTAACTGCAGGGAGGAGTCATGCATCCGAGGATTAAGGGATTTAAGGGTTATTCAGGACTGTCCTTGATTGAAGAAAAAAAAAGTAATYATCAAGACTAMAGATATCTTGCTCTTACCRCAAAGTGATAARGTCTACCACTTCAGGCAGCAARCGGTGTAGTTTGAATAATCTTAMAGGCAATACCAGTTGTCATTTACTCAGTCAAATTGTCTGGTTTGTCCGCATGATTCARTTCATATAAATTTTCGTTATCGGATCGGCCGAATTATTGCCTATCAAGCTATTGACAAATGTTGTCAAAATATTAGATTTTGAGTTTGCATGCTTTCYTTCTTCTTTAATTCAATTATTAGTAGAAAACGCATGGACAAAATTGCCAGTCAGTCTGYCATGGAGTTAATATTTTACAAAGCACACTGCCATTTAGGCTAAACCTTTTCTAATAATGCAGAACTTTAGCACAGGTGTCCGTGAGGCGTCGATGAGTAACACTGGTTAAATAATCTACGCTTCAAGCGTTTTTAGAGTGCGGTACTTGGCGGTTTTTTATCATCATGCTTCATTTTTTTTTTTCAAAATTACGAAACACTTATTGTCATGTCAATACAGATCTAACTTAAAGAAAACCTAAATGATCCATTTTACTGTATTTAATATCTATAGAGTAATTTGGTTAAGTAATCACATGTAAGTTTACCGAGTATAACTATAATAATAATCCGGATGTCATATTAGTAATGATGTCCAAAACAAAACCCAGAGAAAGGAAAGTCACTTCTTGCGATGTTACTTATTAACGGCTTTAGTCAATATTTACATACCTTGTTTTAACTATCGAAGGATTATACTACAAGCATAGCTCCCTCATAGATAGATTCTTAGAATACAGCACAGGTCAAGAGATAAGGGTTTTAAAATAGCGGAGAGCGTTTTACATGAACATTGTACATTCCATTACAGTCGTCGCTCTGTCTGTTGTAATTGACAAAATACTCATAACCTACAACAATAATTATTCTTAACTTTTTAAGGGCGTTTCTGACCAAACTCACCTCTGGTGACGTCATATGAGAATCAACCAATCAGAACCCAAGTTAATTTGATTCAATTTGATGAGAAAGAGTGACTGATGTGAGATGTTCTCGAGATATCTCGCTATTAAAGGCTGTAAATTGACTTGTAGCTWGGGTTATGAGCACAATAATATACTCATTCGATCAAATATTCAACAATGTGCCGTCAAATGATTAAAGATTTAGGACGTAATTACAGTTCTATCAACTCACTTTATGGTACTGTCCAATTTAGYTGCTGTCATGTTAAAACGAGTCGACTTAAATATTTAACACCTGCAATGYGAAAATCATCAATAATGTAATATACTAGATTTTGAAATTGCCATATCATCGCCTTGGGAATTTCTATGCAAGGAAGGTTTCATTTCATTGGATATGAAAGKTAGATCGGTACCATTTGATCTCGTCGATAACATTTCTTTACTGWATTTTGTGTGCAGACAAACATAAACACTCGAAGGAAAAATGAAAAATGAAATTAAAAACGGTCACCTTAACACGGGCCCTTAACAACCAAACCACGCTTTAGTCGTTTTGCAACTTCATCGAAAATTATGACCAGTCGAACTGACGAAAGCTACTGCCTTAGCTACAGTTAATGCGAAATATTGAGAAAGSGAATGTTTGTAAGTCCTTGAAATGTGTTTCTTTTTGCCGATTTCATTACTTTCTCGACTAATCTAAACACTTATTGCGCTGGATTCGCATTAAAGTCAACATTACACCAAAATGACTTTGAAAAGCACATAATAGCAGCATTTAGAAGCATGACTGAATACAGCACCACAGACCATAGTTAGTAACTATGTACACTGACGGCTAAAATAACTTGCTGGCGACATCACCGTTCTATTTGATAAAAACAGCAGTTCAGAGTATGTATTGTAACAATGTAATTTTCGAGAAAATCTGTTTCTATAAAATATTATTATCGCCGTAGAGCTTTCAAGAAATTTTACACTCCTGTTTTACGGCATAGTACCCGATCACTCGGATAATAAGAAAATTGCGCGCTCTAATCCCGATGCGCACCGAGGCATAGTGAGCAGTAAACAAGGGCACTGAACTTCCTCATACAACCGGCCAAGCTTTTTTCGATCGTTAGATTGTTCGTTTTAGTTAGTTAGTTAGTTAGTTAGTTAGTTAGTTAGTTAGGCGGATGACTCCGAGATTTAACAATGGCACTCCAAACGACCCTGTCTTCCATCAACGTAGCCAGCTCGTGTGAGCTGATTGCCCCTGTGTCGCGCTTGAGGGTGTTCGTTTTGCCTAAATAAAAATAATCTTAAATACAAAAAAAAACCTTTAGCATTGAATGTTGTTCGCAAAATTACGAAAGAAGTAACCATAGCAATAAAACGTAATTCCTGTCTAAATGTGAGAGATATGCAAAAATAAGACATGTCTTTAGTCTTTGAATTAAATTGGGAACTAGAAAAAGAACAYGGAGTAACGAACCTTTGAATGCTTGCGTTGTCATSAGAAAACAAAASCWGAATAAGACCAGGAACGGCAGCTTTTTAAATCAGCATTCAAACCTTCAGTGAACGTTATCTACTCATGTTTCGATGATAGTACTAGAGTTTGTTTGCTTACATATTGGTGCTTATTATTCATTAAAGTGGCACACATCAATATGTTCTCTATTATCTATAATCATTGAAATAAGTAGTGCGGTTCTTGGAAYAATAACTCAAAGTAAAACCACTTGTCTGACGAAACCAGCTGGAAGTGGCACCACCAGCGAACAATTGCATTGTTAATAGTTAACTCTTGACTTGTGGACAACTCCGCGATATTACAGATATCGATAAATAACATCTATCAGGAATGAGAGGCCAGTTTCACGACAGCACTCGAAAAAACTGATCGCGCACTTTAAAGGTTGTTTGTACTCACTAAACTCACCATGCCACCCTAACTAGTAGAATTATGCTCAATGAAAGGAGATTAAAACTATATAATTTGCTTTGGCCATCACCACAATTTACGTTGGTATTTTAGAATTTTTGACAGATCATTACAAGTCACTATGTGACCATCGCGCAATTCCCAAAAGTGCTTTTCCAAAGGTTTTGTCTCATGACCAATTCTAGTCGATGCAGTCATGTTCATTTGTAAATCGTCGAGAGTAACCAGATGTATTAGCGAGATTTCATTTTTTTTAAATGATAAAAGCCAAACTTAATAAACTAAAATGGACCTTAAAGATCTTCAGTCAAGATATAAAATGCACGACTCAAACAAGCACTGTCCTCTGGCCATGACATTTTTGCCATTGAATTATACATGTTATCCTCCTATCATAATTTTCTTACAAAAACCTGTTTGAGAACCTAATCCACTAAGCACCATAGTTTCATTTATTTACGAAAACGTTGAATACTGATATTGGATAGAGCACTCCAAGACCAATGTGCATTGTTGGTCGTACTATCGAAGTTCAAAGGGAGCTTTCGTGGTTTAAGAGCGACTGTAACAGACACAGATAAGGACTTCAATAAAAAGCAATCCAGCTAGAATGGACATGGAGTTCAATAGCAACAATGCGTTTTGGTATACATACACTAYGTAAGAGTTACATACCTCGAACGTCGGCAATCAGCCTATACATCCCTCGGGCCGTACTGGCTTATTTTATACTTGAAGAAATTTTCCAAGCACTGCATTAATATTTTCATTTTTGAATAGGCAAAGAAGCCGTTTTCGTAACCTTTCTAATCGAGGTTTTGGTTTTTAATTCATATGAAAACTGAGGTTTTGGTTTTTAATTCATATGAAATTTACAGTATTGACAATTCCCAACGGGAATAATTTGCACAACCAATTTTCTCGTTAGTCCCATGAGACCAATGCTAACAAGAATACCTTTTGTAACAAGTAACTGGACAATGTTAAATAACTGTTTTATTCCTTATAAAACTTATTAATAATGCATAAGCTATTGCTCCAATAAGGGCTGACCATTTAATCAGGTGATTGACCTTGTAAATCTGATACAACCACTAGTGGTTGTATCAGATTTACAACACAGTCGTCACCATTGAGACAACCCAACACTAGCAAAGGTCTCAGTTTTAGTGTCGCATCATAGACCTTCACTAGGTTTTGAAGCAATCAAAGACGGATAACAGAACTGGCTTATGCAACAGATGGCTTGCTTTCCATGTGGGATGGATAATTATTCAAAATGTTCTGTGTTGCAGTAAATTGCGCATGCTTAATAGGGACTAAACTCAGCAGTTACCTTATTTGTCATTTTTCGTCATTTATCTCACTGTAATTCATGTTAATTTGTGTTGGAGTTTTATAAGTCGTTTACAACATTCGCGTCCGTGTTGTATGGGAATTACAATCTCTCGCCTGCGGCTCGAGATTGTAATTCCCATACAACACGGCCGCTCATGTTGTAAACTATACTTAA